TTTTTTAATTATTTTTTCCTCTCTGCGTTTTCTCTTGCAGAGAATCTCTAATTGCTTAGACACCTTTGAAGTTCAAGATATGTCATTATCACTCACTGGCATAAAGTGCAACAGAAAATCCTGCATTTAAAACCCCAAATGTTCTGAGCTTGCACTCATCCAAATTTCTACAATTAATCAAATTAGGAAAGCAGCCAGTAGAACAAAGGTCCATCAAGAATATTTCAGTTCAAGAGGCATTCTTTTGTATTAGCTCTCTATCAAGCCACATCTAAATTCTGTAAAAAGTGTCAGATTCTAGGACTTTATTTCTATCTCAGACACAGGGTTTTTTTGTGTGTGTTTGGGGAGGTTTTGTGGGGTTTTCTCCTAAATTTTTATTCTGAAACACAAATGAAAATATATTCTGTAAAATGAATGCCCTATAAAAATTAATTTTGCCCTTAATTTTTAATTTAAATTTTTAATTTAAAAAATTTTTTTCTGTACTCCCACTTTCACTTCTCTGAGTGCTGAAAGTTGTCACTTTTAGGCTCAGCACTAAGGAGAATGGGATGCCTCGCATCCCAAGGCACAATTCATTCCATACTCTCTGGGAACTGGCAGATATCTGTGCCTGTGTGATGCACTTCACATTCTCAAGATTCTCCCTGTAAGCAGGGAAACACAATTTAAAAACCCCAAACTCTGAAATTCTTGTGTGCAGCCCTGTTCCAAGGCCATTTATTGTGGCAAGTCCCAGATTGCAGCTCTGGGGTTCCGCAGGCTCCCGACACCACACGGAGCCTGAAACGTGCAGAGGGAGCTGGGAAAGCCACAAGCACTCAGGGTGTTATTTCTTAGCAATAGTGTGATTTCCAGTTTCACGTCTGTGTGTTATGGAACAGAACCACAGCAAAAAAACCCCAAATTAAACTGTTTATTGAGGCACCTGGGTCTGGGAGAAGAGGCCTGGGGAACCGCCTGACTTTTTATGCAAAACTCGGTTTTCTGGGTCTTTGATCCTTGCAGCTCAGTGCCAGACGCTCACTCTCGTTCACCTTCTTTGGTTTCTCAAGATTTCTTTCTGGATTAAATCAAAGAGATGCAAAGTGCCTCCAGCCCTGCAGCTCCCCGAGCGCTCCAGGCAGCGGGAGCGGCAGCGCACGCGATCCTGCGGGAGCAGCCAGGGTGGGAGGCTCTGCCATCCCCAAATACTCCAGAGAAATGCAGTCTTTTTGTCCATAGGTGGTGCTGCACGAGCCTGGAAAAAGAGCTGCTTTTCCCATGGCTCTGTGGTCCCCAGCCTGGGCTTCCCTGGGTGGGGTAGGACCAGCCCTTGGTCTCTGCTGGCTTCTCCCTTTCCAGATCTCTGTCTTTAGGGACTCAAAAAAATTATGGTAGGAGCCCCGCTCAGATGTTTGGTTCTGGGTTTTAGAGCTCTTGAAATTGTTTATGGTTCAATATAAAGTTGCATGGCTTTATAAATATATAAATATAAAGCAAACACAGGAGAGTGGAATGGTCACAAGGGCGATGCCAAGAGTTTTTAAGGGAGAAGCAGGACTGTGATGCAGCCATGTCTCTCCTCTGTTTTTTTAGGGTCAGCCATTTCAGTTGTCTTTGCAGGTTTTCCCATCATTTTGGGGCAGAAATTCAAAGAATGGAGCTTTTTTTACTCTTTTCTCAATTTTTTTTGAGGGGGGATAGTGATGAAGGAACAGATAGAATAATGGTGTATATTATACCTTTCCAATTTAATATTTTTTGTTTTCTATTTTAGCCTTGGAAATGTTAAAAGACAGACATTTTCTTAAGAACCATCCTGTAAAACAAGAAGGGGTGTAACCAGAGTCCTGGGTCAGATACAGCAGTTTTATGTCAGAAAACATTACAGTAATTGTGGAATATACAGTTGCTGTGCTGACAAAAACAAAAAAGTGCTTTTCATCTAAACAAATTCGTTTGATTTATTGTGTTTTATACTTATGTTGCATTTAAAATTTTCATCCCCCTCAAGCACTCCGTGGCTTTCCAAGAGTGTTGGAGAACTACAAGGCCGTGTTTTTGGCATTGGGGGTGACCTCATTATTAATCAGAAAACATCTGGGCAATCAGAGCAGTGTGTGTGTGTGAGTTCAGGGAGCTGGGGCTGGATTAGCAGCCCTTGCACGCACAGGCCACCAGACTTGTGTGTCTTGCTTGGAAAACTCCCTGCTGGCTCCTGGGCTCCAGACTTCACAGGAATTCCTGTAGGAAAATTTCCAGAAGTCGAGGAAGACATGGACAAGGCTTTAAACAGAGCTTAAATGAGATATTAGAAGGAAATTCCTGACTGTGAGGGTGATTAGGCTCCAGCACAGGGTGCCTGGAGAAGCTGTGGCTGCCCCTGGATCCCTGGAAGTGTCCAAGGCCAGGCTGGACAGGGCTTGGAGCAGCCTGGGATAGTGGAAGATGTCCCTGCCCATGGCAAGGGGTGGTTTTAAGGTCCCTCCCAACCCAAACCAGTCTGTGATTCCCTCTCAGCTCCCGCCTTGGGCTGGCAATGCCCCAGGGGCTGCCTGCAGAGCTGGGCTGATGCTGATGCCAGGTTCAGGCTGTTGGTGAAGGAGATCACTCGTGGCCATCACTCACCTGGGTTTACCAGCCCTGTGGTGGCACAGATTTCCTTAAGGCATTCTTTGAGTGCCTCTCCTAAAGCTCAAGTGCTCTCTCTTTGTTTTCAGTTGCTCGGTGCATGCTCAGGTTGACAGATCCTGCAGATGAATTAAACTTTCATGTTGCATTTTCAGCAGAGACCCCACAATTTACTCAGTACACATCAGGAGAGAAGATATGTAATAAAAATCAGACAAGTGTACTTATTTTCCAGAATATAGACACTACCCTACCATTATGTTTTTTACATTTAACTGTATAAACAACAATTTAGTTTGCCCTTAATGTCCTAAATATGCTTAGATCCATCACGGTCAAAATTGAAGGGCAAGGCAAAAGGACAAAGAGAAAAGATGTGAAATGTTCCACAGAAATAACCCAAAATACACTTCTAATAGCACAAGCACATTGTTAAAAAATGAAGAAGTAATAGCACAGGAAAGGGTGTGTATTTACAGTGTCAGTGTGGAAACAAAGGCTGTCTCTGATGTTGTTTACCCACCAATGGAAAAAGGGTTTTCCCCCCTGTAAACAATTTTTTTTTTGTTCATGGAAAGAGAGGAGAAACACCCTGTGCTGCTGCCTGGAGGAGGGGAAGCCCTGGAGGGGCTCCACAGGTCCCTCTGCTGCTGGGGGAGCTGGCAGGGTTGGCCTTTTTGAACCACACTGCAAGTTTATACTCAGAAGTAGAAACTCTGAGAAGAAAACTTGGGTTTTTTTGTTGTTTTTGTTTTCTCTTCAGGTGAAGGTTTTTCCACGCAGAGAATCTATTTCAGAACAAGGCAGTGGGTGAGCTTAAAGCAGGAGCTTGTACTCACTGTGGAGGAAGTTTTTCTCAGCAACTGATGAGGGGACAATGTCCATGTCAGGAGCTGTGGCTGAATGACTATCCTGTTCAGAGCTGTGTTTGGCCATTCATAAAATTCCAGAATGATTTGGCTTGGAAGGGATCTTAAAACCCACCAAGTTCCACACCCTGCCACAACCAGGGGCACCTTCCAGTGTGCTCAGATCTCCATCCAACCTGGCCTTGGACACTTCCAGGGATGGGGAGTGTTCATAAAGAATTGACATGATTTAGACAAATACCTGAAATACTTATGAATTAGTTAATTTTTTTTCTGGTATAATTTGCTTTGTTGAGTAATTTACTAATGCTTCTCCATTTTATATAATTACGAAACCTTAAGTCCAAATGTGTGACCTGACTTTTATGATGTGTAAATAAATGTTCCTTCGACTGCAAATATTTTATTATCTTGTCTCAGCTCAGAAGCCTGATAGGCTGCATTGAGGTGAAACAGCCATTTTTTCCCATTTCTGCAGGATCAAAATATGGTAATGATGTCAGCAAAAATGTTTTCTCAAACCTTTATATACAGCTTTTAAATACAATGCAAAACTATGAGTATATTTTGTAGCATTTTTTCATAAAAGGTTTGAACTTTGTATAGTCAACCTATCAAAAATGTATAAATTATACAAGGAAAAAAAACCTTGCATCATTTTTTTTCCCTGGGAAGTGGAGCAGTTAATATTCAACATGAAATGTCTAATCTTTAAATACATTATAATCTAACTGCTTAGGATAATTTTTGCTTTAATACCTTAAGAGTCTGCAAAGCCTGAAGGATGGGATTATTAAAATGGAATTTTAATGTCAAAATTATCAGAGAAGAGAACATATTGCTAGTGTTCATAAAAAAATGTATTCAATTTCTGTTTGATTTGTTCAAATAAGAGATGAGAATATATTTGATTATAGCTGGTAAGTATTCAGGAAGTTGATCAGATGACTGCAGGTCATTGCAACATAAGTGCTGTCAACTGTGGGGATTAGTGCACTGGAGAGGCTGAAATAAGTGGTAACACATAAACATACCTGGACTGCTGGCTTGGCTTGCAGCTTCCATGAAGATGCTGCACAGGGATCAGTCAGGAATGAAAATCTCCTGGTGGCCTCACAGAGAATGTTGCCAACTGCCCAAGCATTAAATAGAAAGGGAACAAGCTTAGTATGGTTTACAGGTATAAATAAAAATCTCCTGTTTGCTCATAATTTAAGTTTTTCTGTCTTGCTGTTAAGAGTGTTGGGTGGTGCCCAAGAGCAAAATCACAGAATTGTGGAATGTTCTGGGCTGGAATGGACACTTAAGGTCATCCCAGTCCACCCCTCCCATGGGCAGGGGCACCTTGCACTGTCCCAGGCTGCTCCAAACCCTGTCCAGCCTGGCCTTGGACACTTCCAGGGATCCAGGGGCAGCCACAGCTGCTCTGGGCACCTGTGCCAGGGCCTGCCCACCCTCCCAGCCAGGAGTTCCTTCCCAATATTCAATATTCCCAATTTAAACCTACTGTCTTCCAGCTGGAACCATTTCCCCTCCTGCTGTCACTCCAGGCTCCTCACAGCCAGGACCATCAGCCAGCTTCAGGTGTTTCAGATCCTCTGAAAAACAAGCTCTGAAAGGTAACAGAAATAATGAAAACATCCCAGCAACCTTGTCACCTGCCTTCCCCAAATTATTCAATAATCTGGACAGCCAGCACCTCTCTGTGCCCATGCTCCTACTGACAACTTTTATTTCAATGTAGTTTCTCAGAAAAGTTAATCACTTCCCAGAACATGGACTTGAAGATCAGCATAGTTTTGTCAGTTATTTTTATGTAAATTTCCCACAGATGGTCGGAAAATACTTGGATTTTATGACCTTAGATGTTTTTCCAACCTAAATGACTCTATGAAAACCAGGAGGTTGCAGCTCCAATAAATAATAAACCTTTCAATAAATGTCTGTCAGAACTGCCAGGAAGGCACCTAAAAGGGATCTAACTCAAGGATAAGGGGGAAGAATTAATGTTGTGTAAATTCAGGTTTGGATGCTTAAATTAGGCTTGGAAACCTTTTTTTGGTGACTTCCTTCTTTTTGGAATATGTGGCATCATTTGTCCAGAATTAGGGTAATATTGCATAAGCTAACAAGGTAGAAATTATGGTTGAAAAGTTGCCTGCTGTGTTCACAGGCTTCTCCTGTGATAAACTGTCTGGTGTGGATGCAAATTTGGCATGTTGGAAGAGAAGGAAGAGCAGGAAATGCATGATTTGCCTGCAGGGAAAGAGCCCAGGGAAAATGGAAACACAGCCCAGGTTGGAAACACCTACAAGACAAAGGTGATGCCACCATGGCTTTTGTTTTTATCTCAACAATACAGCTGAACAAATACTTTAGAGAGAGAGTGAAAGGTGATTTCACAGCTATTAATTAAGATATCAAAGCAACTCCCTTATCTGTTTGCATGAATGGTTGTGCAGAGTTTTTGCTTTGATAAGAACACTCAGAGGGATTGACCATCCTACAGCCAGTATTAAGCATTTGCACAAATAATTTTCTCCTTTTTTCCTATTTGCAAAAGTTGATTTTTCTGGTCATAAAGTAATTTATTTTTTTTTTTCCCTAAAGAATTTACATCATGAATAATACACCTAGGTCACCTGTCCAACCATTTTATTTTTTTTACATTGGTAAGGATTTATTTGCATGAGGAGACAATCTATCTCACAATGAATAGTTGAACATTGTAATAGAACAACAAAAAAAATACAAATAACCCAGAGGTTGCAATATGTTTGTATAAAGTATTCAAACAATTTCAAATAACAACTGAACTTGTAAAAATCAACATCTGTTCATGGATTATTCATGAACAAAAATGGTAAAATTCCTTCAATAAAAATAGTCTTCAATGAATAGTTTTTGCTGGTTGCTGAGAAAATGATGTTCTTGCAACTGAAATCTCAGCTCCAGGACTCTCCTGCAGTTCAGATTCATTAACACTAAAATTATCCTTTAGTACATAAATTGCAGCAACAGGAAAACTATACAAAATTCCAATTAAAAAAAAAAGTGACAGGGTAACACTGAACTGTCTGAATCTAGGCAAGTGGGTGAGGGTTTTTTCACAAAATTCCAAAGATTTTTGGAGTACATCTGTGTTTGTCAACTTGTGTAGGAGCATTATCCCTGTTGCAATACAAACTTTTCTTGTTGTTTTAACAGATCTCTCCTGTGATGACTTCACAAATAAAGATTTAAAGCTATTAATAGTAACAGCTCTAAGAGATCAATAGTTGTTCAGACCTAAAAGTCTGATTTTTCCCCAGCTGAGGGAGAGGTTGGAAGGTACCCCGTGGTTTGACAGGCTGACACAAAAAACACAGTAGGTATCATTTTCAGAACAATGCACATTTTTAATTTATGAATGTTCTTTTATAAACTTGTATGTACAGTCACTCTTTTTTTTTTCTCCACTGCTACATAATTATAACTTGCAAAATGTAAATATTTATGAATTCACAGGATGTTCGCTGGAAGAGAAGAATGTTATACTTGCAGATTTTTCTTGTACTTGCAGGATTCACATAATATTATTTGCCATCATGATGTACTGAAAAATGCAAAAAAATATAATACTCTACATTTGACTTTTCTGAAAAATACCATCTGGTGTTATTTTTTGAGAGTTGGAGATCAGCTCTCTAATTGCTTATAGTTAGAGATAGACATTACTACATTTATTGACAATTTCATTCTCTACAATAATCTTACATTTAAATAGTGACTTTGTTCCTGAAGGATGCCAAAGTGATTAAACTGATATTCAAACTCTTTGGATAGCATCACCCACCACTGAAATGCAGCCATCTCTGGGGTGAGATATTGCAGCTGTTTAACAGCACTCAACAGCGCTGCAGAACAGCTTTGGACATGAAGAATTCTGATGAAAACAGGCACTTTTAAGTAGGCAAAATAATTATCCAAACTGGTGTTTGGCCAGGGCGTTAGTGCTCACGTGTCCGTGCTTGGAAAATTATATTGGACCCTTAATATCCATAATTAGTCAGGACCTGGGGTCAGCTGTTCCTATCAGAGAGGGCATTGCCCAGGTGAAGCCTAGCACTGATCAGGAGGGATTTTGGGAAGCTTATTTGGAGTCTTTTGGATTTTTCCTGACTGTGTGGATATCAAAGATCCACTCTTGTGAAGCCTTCTTTGTGCAGAAGAATTCCACTCTGGTGTCTGTACAGGCTTGGAGGCTCTAAGTGGATCTAAGCTGCCTGTCAGATAACTTTGATTAGGAAAATGGATCTTGGAACATTTTATCTGACTTTCACTGCACTTCAGAAGTGTGTGGGACAGCAGATGAACTCATGTTAAGTACCTGAAGATAATTGTCAATATCTTTGCTCTGTGGCCACCTCAGCTCTCACAATTTTCAGGAGATGGTGGTTGTGATGTACTTACCCATCACATAACCTTCTCATCCTGGGCTGGCTGTTTTTATTTCAGTTGGTGATTCCAAGCTGGGCAAATGTTTCGGGAAATATTTCCTCCACAGAGTTTTGCTAAAAGTGTTGCTGCCATGAGATTTCCATCACACTCCCGCTGCTCGTGAGTTGAAAGGACAGCACTGGAAATGTGAGCTGTCAATCTGGGTGTAACAATACATTTAGCTCGAGCACATCATCCACGTTGAAAGAAAACACTTGTCAAAGTTACAAACAAGCAGCTCCTGGGTAAGTCATCCTCCTCCACCACAGCTTCTGTGCTCGGGTGTGCCAAGAGTTCCTCCTCACCCACAGCTGCCAACCACAGTGTATTTTTGCACTGCTCTTCTGTTTATCATCTCCAGCTCTTGTTGATGTGCAATCACATCCAAGCACATGTCCCAGGACTGCTCTGTCTTGTTATCCAGTTGTCAGGGATGATCAGGATATCCTGCCTCTGGATTGCTTCGATTCACGTGCGGCAAACCTCGAGCTGAGCTTTGTCTGGAGATGTCTTGTGGAGGAGCGTTGTGGAATCATCACTCCTCATCAGATGGACACATTCCCCTTCACCTATTTGGAATTTTTCCAATTCCTTTTCTAACTTCTTGGTTTTAACATCTTTCTGAACAGACTCCAGACCACATAAAGTAAGTTTTTCTCTAGACTGCATAGCAAAAAAAAAATCCCACTGTCATTGTGAATAAGTAGGCATGACATGGAACATGGCAGGAAAATATCTTCTCAGTAACAGTCTGGAGCATTGAAAACTGCCAGTGAAATGTGGGCATGGCTTGGAAAGTTTTATGTTTTAGTTGAGAGGAGAGTACTCCATGGAAAACAATTGGGTATGGAAGCTGGACTTTGGTTATGGGAAGAACTGACATGGCTTTTATAACTTATACATCTAACCAAATGTCTTAATCAAAGCTTTTTCACCTAGAAGTGATAATGGGGTCAAAACCGAAATTCAGTGGCAAAGAATGATGGTAGATTTTCCAATATGCAAAAGGTTTGAGAAATTAAGTTTAAAAAAATAAACCAAGCAATTTTAATTTTTCTAAGTAAAATTTCAAGTTTAGGATCAGAAAACTTTCTGGTTTTCAGTATTTGGGAAGTACATGACGTGTTATAGGTCATCTTTAAAATTATGGAAAGGATAATTGTTGAAAGCCATGGTTTGTCCATATGTGATTTTTGAGGTATATTTGAGATAATAAATTGATTTGGGGTAAAACACTTGATCCCTTGTGCAGAACTTGAGTTGAAAATGATCCTCTGAAGTTTGGATGATGATGTGTTGCAGCTGCTGTTCTTTCTCCACCTGGAACACCTAAACTTTGGATTTTCTGCCCTCATTTGTAGAATGCACCCTGTACATGTGCTGCATCACACATGTGGTGATTTGAGAGCAGAAAATTGTGATGTCTGAGTTACAACACAAAGATCTGCCTGAGAATGTGGATCCAAGGCTGCACAGATAGTTGCATGAATTTACGATTTTTGAGATTAAACACTTCAAAAGACAATCAGGACCAAACTTTTTTCTTGCTTTGGTCCTTTTCTTGATGACATTTAGGGAAAATGTTTCTTTTTTTTAATGGAAAATAATGGAAGTGGTTTCACTTAAACCCTGCTTTATTGTTTCAGGGCAAGATGCACTACTAAAAACATACCTTTTAATATTTTTGTTAATTTTACCTATTTACTGATAAATTCACTAGAAGATGAAAGTATAAGAGGACACCATCAAGTTATATGGGGGAAAAATAATTAGTGTCTTATTCTGAGTCAGTTTTTGTTGAATTGGGGATTCTTGGAAAGGGTTTGAGGGTTCATGTCCCAAATCACTGGTTGGTGCTGCAGAAAGGTTCTGCAACACCAAGGAGGGAAACTGGGGTAAAAAACATGATGAGGGCATCCATGTTTGTGGCAAAACTTGTTAAAAAAGCTCCAATTTTCTTTTATGTAGTAGCAACCAGTCTGAGTAATTAACTTTTCCTTTGCTTTTGGTGTCTTTGGTGTATTAACAGCCTGACATCCCCTCTGTGCTGGAGGGATTTTGTAGGAAAAAGAGATTTCACTGGTGGATTCTGCAGACTGTGTCCCTGCTTGGCTTTGTAGAGCATCTGCCATAATTCACTCCAGGATGACTAAACTATTGTAATAAAATAATAAGTACCTTCTACAGGTAAACCAATGCAATTTCTTTTTTTCTCCACCCCTTTCTGTCTTCAGCTTCTCTTACTCCTTTTTAATTATCAGTTAAATAGGTGAAAAAGGAGCATTTTATCCTGAAACTAGAAAATAGGTGGAAATGTGAATTTTTTGTTTGTTTTCTAACAATTTAAACAAGACTTTTCTAATGTTTGCTTCATTACTACTTAAAAAAAAGAATATTTTGGAGCTATAAAAATAAAACCATAATTTCTGGGTGGAGAGAAGATGTCATTCCACTCAAAATAAATATCATCATTTATGATGGGAGAGTGTTTTGAAAAGCCTTTCCCACATGTATTTGAATAATATTTTGAGTGAGTTGTCATTTTAATTTGAAAAAAATATCATTCCCATTTGATATAAAATTATTTGCACTTCTTCATGCTGAAAAAAATCAGCCTGGGGAAATTTTGGAATCATAACTGTGTTTGGAGATATGACATTGTCAAGATCCAGTCTGGTGTTCAGGACACCAAGAGAAGACCAGGATGCTCATCAGGAACCAGATTGTGACCTTTGGTGCTTATTTTACAGATGAATATTAATCTGGAATTCAACTATCAATATCACACTGTGGAGAAGATTATTCCCAATGAGCTGAGACATTATGGTGAGGTTTGAAGGAGGTTTTTGTCATTTAAAATCTATTTTGCCTTAATATTGTTCTACAATAGCAGAAACATTTTAATATGGAAATTAGGAATTAATGTAAAGACAAAGGATATTTTAATTTTTCTGTGTTACAAAAACAAAATCTAACAACTGTTCTGCCTTGACAGAGAATGAGAAACTCACTTCCATTTTGTATTTCTTAATGAAAGAGCAAAAGTACCCAGTGTTTAGATTAGACTTGATCCTGCATGTATGTATTGAAAATCTATAGAATAATTTGATAAAAAAGGAAGAATGAATCACCTCTAGGGGTAAGAAACCCTCATGAGCACTTTAAACAAATTGAATACGTAGAATATATATGAAAAATTTAGTATTATGATTTCATTAAAACATAGTGGGTTTGTTTTTAAAGGTCAAAACAACAAAAATATAATGAAATTTGACAGAAACAAAGATCTACAGGTGCTTTTAGAATTTAAGTTATTTTGAAAAATATTGAATATACTACTGTATTCTTCTGAATACATCTACTAAAAAGTCATCTCAGGAATTAATTTCCAAAATAAAATATCCTACAGATAAAGGTGTTTCCCAAAGTGGGAAGTTTTAGAACTTGTTAAAATCAACATGTTGTTGGGTCAAGAAAATCTTTGTGCAATCAGATTTTACAGATGCAGAGGAAGGAAATGTGAGATGTTTTAAGAAATATTTCTAGAGGGTCAGTAAATTTCCCACAAGCCTGATGGATACTTGTTTACTTTAGAACTTTTTTTTTAATGGCAAACCTTAAATGAATTACATTATTTGAGTCTGGAAAAGTGAGAAAATGCTGGAAGTGGAGGTAGAAAAATGATTTTGTTCACAGTGTTGGGTTCCAGTGAGAGGTGAATGGATCCAGCACAACTAAAGGTTCACTGATGGAGGACCTGATGGGGCAGAGGTGGATGGAGGGACCTGCCTGTGGAACAGAATCTGCTCCTTCTGGAGGTGCTCTAATCTTACATTTAAATCAGCCAGGAAACATCATCCCAAGGCTGAGGTGAGCCCAAGGATGAAGCATGAACTGAAATCCCAGCACACCTACAACTCAGATTTATTCTTATGCAGGTTGAGTGATCGTTCACCTACACCAATTTTATTTCTGGATGTACTCACAGGGATGTGTTTGAGCCAAAAGGCAGCGTAGGCACAAAAAGTGTGGAACAGATTTAAACAGATCGCAAACAAAGTAGAAATCTTTTAGCCATTTGAAAGATGATGGTCTCAAATACAAAAACATGGCTCTAAGGTGAACAAGGAGCAGTTTGGGAATACAATTATAAACTGAATTTGATAGAGTGATGGATTTTATGTCCCAGGAGATCCCTTTTGGTTTTTTTGCCTATGAAAATTGTAATAGATAAGTGTAGTAGCTATCTGATATGCTTTTGGAGATTGGTGTATGCATTAATAGAAATATAAATGTTTTGTGCAACATTTGTACTTAGAAATTTCACATCCATATAAGTGCTGGGGGGTCTTCCATGATTGGTTTGCTATAGATAAAACCAACAATACATATAATATAGGTAAAATCCAACACCAAATCCAGGCATCTCTGCCACTACAGTGTCTGCACTGATTCATGGGGAACTGCCTGCAAACTCAGAGTTATCCAGATTCAGTGTGTTTTCTTGCCTAAGGGTTACTAGTTATGGTACTTCTCAGATCAGTGGAGGTGCTAGAAACGCTTAAGGGCTTTGTTATACTGGTGTTAATTGCTAAACTGAAACCCAAATTTGAACTCTGCAGTGTTTTCCTAATGTATTGTGCCACTACAAATCTGGACAGGGAGACTGCTGTCAGCTGAAATAAATAAATGTGTAGTGGAAAAGCAAGATGCTGATGCAGTTACAAAGTGTGCCTCTAGTTTAAATCTCACCCTATGACCTGCATGGGTGGCAATTGCTGAAATGCAATGATGAGTATTTCCTTCCCCGAAGGGGCACAGGGAGTGGGGAATTTAGGATACCTGTGGGTAGCTCCAGATGGCAAGTATCTTGCTGCTTTGCTGTACCTCCACCTTTCTGCTAGGTCTTTTAAGGTTTTAAGCACCTGTTGTCATTTTTTTGGCATTAGGACCCTACCCGTGGTATGATTTGATTGATTGATATTGATTTGATAACACAGTATGAATCTGGTTTTGAATGGCTTTTACACCATGCTCTGCTTTTCTGTTTAAACAAGGAACAGGGATCTGATTGTTCACATCTTCTGGAAAATTTTGAAATAGTTTTACCTTAAAAGAAGGTTGAAGTGGGACTTTTGGCAATGGTCAAAATAAATGATAGAACAGGGGGGAATAGCCGTATGCTGAAGGAGGACAGGGGTAGAGGGCATATTAGGAAGAAATTCTTCCCTGTGAGGCTGGGGAGGCCCTGGCAAATGGTGCCCAGAGAAGCTGTGGCTGGAAGTGTCCAAGGCCTTGGAGCAACCTGGAATACTGGAAGGTGTCCCTGCCTATTGCAGGGGGTGGAATTAGGTGATCTTTAAGGTCTGTTCCAACCCAAACCATTCCATGTTCCGCTGATAATTCTGTGATATCTGCACTGTTGGGTCACTGAAGTTGAACCTGTGGCTGGGGAGAGCCCCACTGAGCTCAGAGCTCTTTGTGTGCAGCAGTAGCCCTGCCTGAATGGACTTTACAGGGAAGCAGAGTGACATTAAATATTTAGTTTTCATATTCTGGCTTCCTCTGCATGTGACCACCACCTAACTCAAAGGCTCCTTACTGGAGTCTTAAAATCAGAACAATGGAAGGCCATAAAACAGTATAAGAAAAGCTGGAGTCTAATTATAAAAATAGTTTTCAAGGTTCACTCTCACTGTTAGTCATTACATTGTTCTGTGGTATTTTTTCACGTATGAATAGGATGTCTTGGAGATTGTTTGAAGTGTGTCAGTTTTGGGAGACTTCAGAAAGACTTCTGTGAGAGTTATGGGTAAACACAAAACCACTAAGATGCCCAATTCTCCCCAATTACCTGTAATGGTGCAGCATCCTCATTTCAGTGGGGCTTCACTTGAGTTTCTCACAGGATCAGGATCTGTGCATATCTGTTTAACTCATTATTTGTATTGTTGTACAGAGTTGGCTTTATCCACACGGTGCTGGCTTTGAAAGCAAAAATCCAGCCCAGTATCACCGAGTTCCCGTGTGTGGTTTAAGGAATTACATATTCTGCCTTTTGAGAGTGTAAAATTATAGTTGTGTAAAATCACCTAGCAGTTCTTTATCCCGAGTTGCATTTTATTACCAATTTCAGATATAGCCATGAGGTAACAGCTAAAAAGGTCACAGTGCAAATACATGTGCAGAATTTAAACGAGGACTTATTCTTTCTCCAATAAACACACACCGGATGCAAAAGAGGAATTGGAACACTTTCAGAAGGCAGCTCGGGCCAATCCAGCCCTCATCAGGGACCATTTCAAAGATTAGTTTCTGATGTCCACACAAGCGTATTGTGTGAGCCTGTTTTTAGATAATGCGCTGTTCCTGTGCTCTGCCATCCCCTCCGAAAGCGTTGTGGCTGCACAGGTCTGATTGCTGGATTTTGCAGCCTCCTGTGAGAGCTGCAAAAGCCTCGGCAGCCTGAGCGGACTGGCTGCCTCTGTAAAGTGAGCCTGTAAAGCTTGATTTCCTTCTGGGAAAGGAAACATGTCTGCGTATTGCCCAGATTCCCAATGACCTGCCCCAGGACCGAACAAAGATTCAATGGAAGAGGGAAGGGAAACGTTCCCAGCAATGAAACCTCAGGTGATCTGGTTTCTATTCTCAGCTCCCACACTCGCTTTTTTTGTCAGCCCTGATAAGTGATTTAGCTGTGCCTTTCCCCTCATCCTTACAATAGGGATAACAGGAGCATTGTAAAGCCAAAATCAATATTGCTGGCGAAACGCTGAGGGTCACACTTGCACAAAGGCCCACACAAGTGTGGATGTGCTGTTTAAGACATGAAAGACTGGGCAGTTAAACCCTCCGCTGGGATCTGGTGTCCTTAACCCAGATCCAGAGGGTGGGGGCAGAGAATAAACATCAGAACATGAGATTTACTTTAACAAATCATGTAGAGCCCTTTTTTGGGGAGGTCATACCAGACAGGGATAGGGGGGAAGGTCTCCCCTCCCTGATTGGACTCATAATCTTCCTGGCTGGTGAGTGGGACATGGCAAGGGCTCTTCCCAAAGGGTGTTAGCACAACGTGAATTTCTCAATATTAACAAGAATTAGCTGGAAGAGAGGTGAGAAAAATCCCACTTTGCTCCCCCTCCTGTTCTTGGGTAGCTTGGGAACGTTTGGCTGAGTCTGCTGGTGTTGTAGAGATGTTGCAGGAAACCCTCAGAGTTGCGTGTTCACAGAATTACAGAATTGTTTGAGTTGGAAAAGCCCTGTAAGATAGAGTCCAAATGTTTCCCCAGCAGTGCCAATGCCACCACTGACCCATGTCCCCAAATAACACATCTGCATGTCTTTAAATCCCTCCAGGAATGGGAAGACCATCATTGTCGTGGGCAGCCTGTGCCAGGACTTAATAACATTTTAAGTGAAAAAAATTTCCCTAATGTCCAATCTAAACCTCTCCTGGTGAACTTGGAGCCATTTAGTCTTGTCCTAAGACAAGACTTGTTACTTGTTGGGGGAGTTCAGCTATACAGCAGCTTAAGTGCTCCAGTGGCAACCTGTTGGTTGTGGGCCTTCTCCATCAGCTCTCCATGGCCAGCTCAAGGTCCCTGAGGGAACGTTTCAAAGACTGAGACTTTAGAGTAGAAAATAATGGAATTTTAATCACCTAAAATTATAATCTAGTTTAACTGCCTGATCAGTTAAGGGCTGCCCAAGAGTTAAAGCATTTTTTTAAGTGCATTATCCAAATGCCTCTTAAACACTGAACATGGAAACACAGCGTGGAACGTCTTTAAGATCCTTCTCAAACTTTCTTTTAGCTTGACCTAGAGATTAATTTCCAAAAGCCCAAACCTGTGGCTGTGAGAATCTTTGTTTTATAAGCTGTCTGTTCCAGTTCCTCAAAGCTGAGTGACTGCTTTATTGGGACGACGTGTCAGTCCTGATTACATTTGCATGTTGGTTTAAACGTAACACTACATGCCAGAGCTTCCTAACTGGATGTGATGCAGCATCAAAGTGATGTTTCATGCTCTGGGAACTTTAAAAAGTCATTGAAGGGAGAAAAGAGAGATGCCTATGGGAGAAATGACAGGAATTTGGGTTTGATTCTCCATGTATCAAGGTAAATAGTAAAACATATGTTGACTGATTTGGAAGCAAGATGGGCTCACAATGCCTCTGACAAGGTGGGTGGTGCCTTAGGATTTGTCACTCCTAAACTTCTGAGGACTGGGATGTCCTTCTACTGTTTTTCAGAAATGTCCGTTTCTTGTAAATACAGGGTAGAATAATAACTCCTGGTGTTTTATTTATAGAAATGCTGGTGGAGGTATTTATTATAAATGAAATTAATTTTGAATTAGCCTCCTTTTCCGTTCAGGAATGATTTTTGCAAACAATGCTCTGCTCTTATTATTCACTGTATAACGTGGGAGGACAGAGCTTATGTCTCCTCTATCTCCCCTTGCCACTCTTTCTTCAAATCCTTCCAAGCAAGGACAGAATGTTTGGCAGAAATTGCTCTAATATCCCTGAATCCACCTTATCATCTCCAGACTGCTTTTTTGAAGGCCTGGAAGAGTGTGAAATTTATGGAGTGGTGGTAACACAGGCTGGGTGAAGGTCTGCTGCTGCATATGGGCAGAGTGGGTTATTCCTCAAAACATCTTGGATTCTCTGCCAAAAAATGGGTACCCTACACCTCCATTCTCAATCTCTAATGTGCAATAAAGCCTTCAGGTTTTCTATGAGCTTTGTGAATACAAAGCTTGTGAAAATATCCAACATTTCACCTTATAGAAAACCATGGAAAATTACATGTTGCCTGTGTTAGAGCTGAGTGGGCTGCAGTAAATAAGGTTTGGGGACATGGGAGAATACAAAACACTGGGATCTGATGATGTGTAAAGGGTCTTTAACTAAAATTTGTCAAATGCCATGACAAAAAGTGGATCCAGCCAGCCAAGGCAGGCCAGCTGTGGAAAAAGAGAAGGCAAGACTGCAGCAGACTCACTCTCACTAATACTCTCACTAATTGTGGGTTATTTCATTCCTGATTTTGCTTTTCCTTGTTTTCTTTTTGTTGTTGTTTTTTTTCTTTTTTTTAAGTTTTTCAACAACTACTTACTGCATTTAAGTAGTGGACACTGTTCCCAAGATTCAAGGTAAATGTTTGACTTAATTAAACCCTATTTATTTTCTCCGATTTGGAAAAAGTAGCGCTTACTGTTTGAATTCATGCTTTCATTCAAATATA